GGCAACTTCATCAGTGCAGAGTGGCATTGGATAGGTAACAAAAAAAAAAAAAAAAAAGAATGCAATGGCTTTGCTAACATTGCTTCATGTAGATTTGGTGAATCTCTTCTGACTTTGATAATCAGTAGTCTCTCAGCTTTACAACCTATAATCTGTATTCACTGCCATTACAAGAGAATGAAAGTACAGGTGAGATAGTTTGGTCACATAGAGAAAATAATGATATTTGCCTTAAATGTGTATGATAGAGGTAAGACAAGTCTTTCTGCTGCCTCTTGCAAATTGTTTACCCTTCTCTCTGCTTGCTAAGACCCAGCTGCAAGATGCTTTTGTGACAAAGACCCCAAGTAAAAGGTACAAAAAGCACTTATTCCAGAAGCTCAAAATACTGCCCCGATTCATCTTTTGGTACACATACACACATACATTATTTATATCTCAAATTTCTTTTTTTTTTTTTTTTTTAAGCTTGTATTTACAACATGGTAAGTGAAAAGCACCAGATCTGTAGGTAGTAACAGCTAGGTTTGGAACTGAAAAATACCACCTTGAGAAAGAGGCCTAATTCTTGATCAATATCCCATTATCAGTGCCACACTGCCAAGGTGAGGCATGCGGGGTAACAGCATCACATACCTAAAGATGACACGAATGCCCTCATTTCAACGCTCAGTGACCTTCAGTGCAGGTCACTGGTGGGCAGCCTGGTTTTGCATAAACCTGGAACCTCCTTTAATTCTAATAGATCACTTGTAGCCAGAAAATTTTCTTTTTAAAAAAAGGGCAAATTAGCATGTCAGGACAAAACTTGAACTGATTGCAAAAACCCAAAATATCATTAATAAGTTTCACAGTACCTCACATACCATAAGGTTAGCCCTTCCCTTTTCTAAACATACCATTTGTACAAATTTCCCCAAAATAACTTTGGTGTTGGGATGTCAGCCATAATCCTGCCTCATACCTGGCTGGACTGAGATTAAAGACTTTGCAAGACTTTTCAAGGCCAAAGAAACCAAACACACAGTGATTTTCCAAGCACGACATAATCCGTGACTAGCAGAATTTGCAAAATTTATTACATTTAATTGAAACAAATGAAAATCAACCAATGGATCCCATTTACCACTGCAGACAGTCATAAAAACTGATGCATGGGAGGTTGTAAACCTTTTAATAATCTGTGTGTTATCTACTTTTGTTGGCTATACTGGGTCTTCGGATTGCCCCATTTGAAATTCCTTAGCCTGTCAACAACTCTGATCAGCTTTCATTTTCTCTTTATACTCTGAGTAGAAGGGGCAGTTACCCACATACAAACTTTTTTTCCAAATCCTATGCTGAGCTGAATTTTCCACAACTGACACACTGTGAAAACCCCCCACTCTGCTATGATTTCAGTAGCAGATACAGCCCATCAGTTTCCCATCTGGTCAAACAGGCCACAACACAATTAGCTCTGAAGCATGGAGGGGACTGTAGATCTCAGTAAAACATAGCTAGTCTACTAGCAATATGTGAGTGGTTCACTTCTCAACAGACTGAAGCATTAATTCTCTTTAAAGATATTTTTTACAAGTAGTGTTTTATTTGTAGTGCTATTACCTCAGGACATAAGTAAAGGACATGATCTCCCTACATAGGATCTTACTCCACACAACAGGAAATGGCTTCTGCAGTCAGACCTATTTCAGGATCTGAGCCCAGCATCCAGTCCTCATCTCACACCGACTTCTCATACTCTGTGCCCAATTGCATGTTCTTTCCACAAACCCAGTGATGGCTGAGAATGGAGAGGAAAAAACAACTGTATGAAGAGTTTTTCTGAGCCAGTTTACAGGACCATATAAAGGTAGAACTGTCTCAGAGGGGAATAGACTTTTTACCTTGAGGAGCCTCTGTGGAGAAACTGAAATGAACCTTTTACCAAAGGGTGCTTATGCTCTGAATGGTTCAGTTGTCTGAAAGCAAACTGAATGAGGTGGGGAGACCGGAGCCATAAAACCAGGTGCCTGCGCAGTACAGCAGCTATGGCTTTTGCTAGATGCTTCTTATCAAACAAAGCACTTCAAGAGTGATTTGAAGAAAACTAAGCACTTCAAGAGAAACTGCAATTTTGTCTGCATGCAGAAGTTCTACTGTACTGGTGTAAATAAAACCTTGCAATCCCATCCTAGTCTGCATGCAGCTGTAAAGGTACGAGACTGACTATACTTGTATAGCACATTCTGATACAGAAAGAGGAATAATTTGTCCCAGGAAAAATTACACCTATACATAGGTGTACAGGGATCTATTATCACTCTCTGGGCTGTATTATATTACTATAACGATGCTAGTAAAAGAAAAATTACAACTCTAAATGATATTGTAGTGCTGGTTTCAAGACCATACACAGACCAGGGACTCGCTTCAGTGAGGCTCTGGGCCTCCTATGTGGTTCCATTTCCTGCTTCCTCACAGTAGTACTGGGAGTTTGTGTCTTCTCAGCAATGTATTTTGACTTTTCTCTGACTGTCCTGCCCCACACATTCTATACAAGAAGTTAAACTTGCTTCCTCAGTTGCTATAGATTGGTCATATGTGTGAGACCTATTTCTCAGGTACTCTAGACGAATTCTAGACAAACAAGCCCCTATAGCCTTGCGGCCTCTCACAGCAGCTGCAAGGACAGCCTTGTGATTCAGGTTTTAGGAGTTGTCCAGCTGAGCTACTTGCAGACTGGTAAAATGCTGAAAGAGACTACTGAGCAAGGGGGATGAAGCTTTCAAAACAGAGTTTTGGTCTGTTTTAAAAGGACATAACATGGAATACACCAAAAAGCACAAGTTTTTACTCAGGCTCTTGGCCAAGAACTCTCAGAATACCCAATCTGTGTTTTCTTTATACCTCCATTTCTAGTGAGCTGTGTGCTTGCCTCAGTAGAGTACAAATCTTTTTCTGTTAGACTCATTTCACAGAAAGAAAAAAAAGCCTGTGTTAGAAAACTCAAATTCCTAGCAGCAGTAACAAATACATTCTGGTACTGAGTCCTTAAACACACACACACAAAAAAAATGCTTACTGACCCCAGCTGCTGAGCCTGTAGGACAGCTAAGCTCCACATGAAACAACTCCAGGGGTTTACATCTCCCTTACTGAAGTAACCCAAAATTAGCACTAGTTTAATATGTCAGGCTACAAGCTGCAGTGGTTCAGCATCACCTTCATGTGCAATTCCACAATCTCTGAGGTGGGACAAAGTGAAAAACTAACTGGAGGCGGTTATTGATTCAGCTGTCTGCCCTTAATTAACTTACAGATGCCCCAATATTACTGGGATAAAATATGGATCAACCCTGAACCTAGGGTTAGTTCTAAATGACAGACTAAATCTTGAACTAGACCCTTGCAAAGCTCCTTGTTTTCCGCTCTGACAGCTTGCATTTCAGTTTCTGGTGTGCTGGTTGGAATGACAGCCTTTTCCACCTTTAACTGTGTACTGAAATGTGCAGCTGTGAGTGATTTGTTAGACAGTCCTGGGTGGGTGGGACCCTGTAATAACCATCTCTGGTGCGCTGCGCTCCACGATAGCACTGAGGACTTAGCATTATTGATCCAGAGGTTTTCCTACACAATGAAACATACTTCAATATTTTGAGGCAGAACCACAGAAGCCAAGTTTTATCATATCAGGATGCATTTATGAAAAGTTTATTAACTAATGACTAATAGATGCTTGCTAGTTATAGATTATTAGAATACAGCTAGTTATTTAAAGATATCCGAAACAGATGGTTTAGGTGTGTTTTACATTATAAGTACTGAAGTTCTTTTACACTGTATGTGGGGTTGGAAAAAGCCAGTATGCATTCATGTAGTATAACAGCAAGTCCCTAAAGTTCAGCTTTCATTTAATAAACTAAGAAGTCTCTTGCTGTTACAGTTCTGAAAAAATCTAGCAATGTGAGCAGAATGTAACCAAGGCAGAGATGGCAAAGAGAAGTCTGGAGCAGCAGCTATGAGGGGGCACGAACTGCGCCAGCCAGCACCCCATCACCCAATGATGACTTCAGTCATTTCCAACCAACTCTCTCTTACTGGGGGAAGAAAAAAAAAGTGTGATTGATGGGCAGATTAGTGCAGCAATTTCATTTGTCCACAAAAATCAGTGAGAGGTTCTACTGCTTATAGAAATCCCAATTAAAGGCAGCCCCACAAAACTCAGAGCCCAAGGACAAATAAAAGTTCCAAGTGCAGAGAGCTCTCCAGCATCGAGAGAACACTGTCCTGCTTTGAGCATCTTGTGCTTCACTGAGATCAGCATCTGTTCCTCTGACCGTATAGTCAGGACTGGGGAACCTTTGGAAGAGTATCACTATTTTTTGTTCCCCTAACTAGACCCTGCTGATAGCATATACTGTTCTCAACCAGAAATGCAGTCATATCTATTAGGAGTTTATTAACTCTTCATAAATTAATTAGTGCACTACTCACATGATGTGATCTTAGTATGTGTATATGTGTGTGTGTGTAGCTACAATGTTTGCATTTACTCAGGAGTAAGTAAATTCTTTTCCTGTTTCAATGTAAATAAGATCATGACCATTGCCATGACTTACCCAGTGTGGGTCAGAGCCATGCTGGGTGAGCCTGTTTTATTTGTAGAAATCTTTTGGCTGCCCCTACTTGAGGCTGGCATTGCACAAGGTGTTTTTGAGCATCCATCTACTTTTCCATACATTTTGGCTTCAAAGTTAAAAAGGAGATATGGCAATTGGTGGCAATCAGTTCCCTGTTCAGTGCTGGTGTGGGCTCTGAAAAAGCAACCTGTCCCAGCTGAATTCAAAACAGAAATAGGAATTTCAGATGAGATGTGAGAACAAGGGGGTGCCTTATGCTACAGCCAGCTTAAGCATTAAACACATTTCGTAAGCAAGGAGTACAGCCAACCCTATCACTACACTTTTATAAAACTGACCTCAGTCAGTCCCTACTGAGATGTGTCTATGTGACTTGCTCTCAGAGCTGCTAAAGTTCTCTTCAAGTTTCTTCTTAAGTTCTTTAGAAGAGACATGGCACAAACTGGACTTATGATTTTTATACTTATAAGCATACTACTGCTGGATCAGACCATCAGCCAGGCTTCCAAATTCAAAGCCAGGAAGCACAGCAAACGTAGAGTGAAAGGTACTGGGTTTTAAGTGGGAGGAGGGACAGAAGCTTATAGACTATGCAAGTTTACTATGTACTTAAACAACATTGCATGAAACAGAAACTAACATTATACAAATGCTTATTAACGAAGGACAGTTGAGTCTATATGATATCCGTCTTAAAAATATTTTTATTTGAGTTAGCAAAGCTAAAAATAAGGTCGCAGAATGAGTTATGGAAATAGAGTTGTATAACAGTTGTAAATATTGCTCTGTTATGCCTATTCATCTCTGTTGACATTATTTAGGACTCAGAGGAAGATCTGAGAGGACTCTGGCCAGTCGTTCTTAGTTATGTAGTTATATTGACTAAGATCAGAAGAATGGAAATTCATATGGTAGAAAAGACCAGAATAAAATATTCAGTTTCCAAGGGTTATTGTTCAGATTTTTGTACCATTTTCTAATTTTAACAGAATGCCTGTCTAATATTTGTGGAATGTTATTTTACCTGTGTTAAAAGTACTGTGAAATGGCAAGTCAAACTAATGAAAAAGAATTAGCAGAAAAAGATAAAGCATAAATTCCCAGAGCAAAGCTTACAGAGCAAATACAGAACTGCTGAATGTTGTTTGGAAATGTCTGTGTATTTAATTTAAAGACTTATTTCTAATAAAAGAGGGTATGATGGAGGTTACACTAATGGCAAATATTTAAACTCCTAGTCAATGAAAAAGCCGCAGCTTTGATAAAGCCATTGTACAACATGATTATGCTGCTCTGGAGCTGTACAGTTATATATACTTCCTTTTCCTTTTGAATCTCTATAGGTTTTAGCTTCATGTTCTAAGGACAGGCTGCTTATACATTTGTTTTGTCAGCACATTTGTCTGTCAAGCTTCCCCTACTTTTGAACTTGAAACAATTTGGCAGAAGAATGGAGCTCCTGAGAATAAGTTTCTCAATATTTTATGAAATTCAGAATGAGGGTTACAAAAAAAAAAATAGATCTGCATTAGTGTCCCACTATGAAAAAAGTTGCACCGGGAGCTCAGCTTGTTCTGCTTCTTGCCTTTTTTGAAGCAGACAGAGGACATGAAGAGGCTCCTGTGAACTGGGAATCACAGGGAGGAGCATGGATTGGGGAACTGGGAGTCCTGCCTTGGGAAACCAGGGAGTCACGAAGGACAGCTGGGGTTATCCCCACAGGCAGTAGGGAATATGGAGAAAAGATGAGCTTTCTGGGGTGCAGCTGGAGGATTAGGTGATGTAACACAGATCTGTAGGAACTGTGGTTTTGTTAGTTCTGCTGCATGTGAAAGAGCTTATTTATTCCTCATGCTCTTTACTGTGGGTTCTGGAAGGTCTGGTTACTGCTGCAATCAAATTGTAATCTTGTGCAATGGAAACATGCCTGCTAGTTGTTTGGTGATGGTGGATTATTATAATAATAAAGAAAAAGAGAATAGAAAAGACAACCTGAAAATGGAGCTGTTATGTGCAAATTAGCATCTTTTCTTGTCCCACTATCTTGTTGGTGCTTTTATAAGTGCTACAAAATGGTGATTCAGACTGAATTTTCGTGACTTAACACCAGGCCCTCTCTGTACCAACAGAGGGAGGAAGGCTCCTCCTGGGAGGGGAAATTGCAGCTCAGCAAGCTTGCCTGCATACATTTAGACTATGAAGTTGGATTATACTAGCTGTTCCTTACTGTGTTAAAACAAGAGTGGTGTGAAACTTTTATGCTCACAGAAACTACATTTCTTTGAATAAACACAACTTGTGTTCTGCTATTATTTGTATTTCATATGTATACACACCATGGTGTGCAGGTTCAAAAGCAAATAGGCAAATTTTGCTGTAAATTAGATACAGGCATGCTAAATAGTGATTAGCTGCAACAATCCATGGTTTTCAAATAGTTACTAGGATACAGTCCAACTGAAAATGAGATTTAAACTAAGAAGGTAAAAGGTAAAGGTTGGTTCCTCCTGGTTTTGGATGGGGGTTTTTTTGTTTGGGGTTTTTTGGGGGGGGGTTGGTTGTTGTTTTTGGTTTTTTGGTTTTTTGTTTTTGTTTTTTTTTTTTTTTTTTAAATAAGAACCCTACAGGAATCCTTTAATTAAGGAAAAATCTTTAAAAGAAATCAAAACAACTCTCAGCAATGCAGAAAGCCATGATATTTTGAAACAGCTTTTAACATAAATTTTTAAATTTTTTTTTGTGTGCATATCTGTATATTTCTTTTATTTAAGAAAAAGATGACCTAAAGACGCAGATTGACAAATTGTGGCGAGAAGTAAATGCTCTGAAAGAAATGCAAGCACTTCAGACAGGTAAAGCAGCTCACACTGGTCAATGCTTCCAAAAGTTATCACTGCCTTTCCTCTCTCCTTCACTCCCATCCTTCTCTTTAATGGGGATTTGTGACTGAGAAATACAACTCCTTCAGAGCTATGGTGTGCCATAGCTGTAATGGTGAGACAAATGTTAAAGGAAACATTCAGGTAAAATCAAATCTGAACTAATGGAGTACAAGTGATCATTCTTCACTAAGAGCAAGAATTAATCTGGAGCAAGAACTGCTTTTGTCTTTGCTATGCCCAACCTCAAGCTGTGATTTTAGGTATAATCAGATAAGGGTAACACAATGAGGGTTGCTGGGTTTAAGTGTTTAAATGGTCAGAGTTAGGTCCCCAGCTTTGATATGAACATGGGCTAACTATCAAGGCAAAAATATTAATGGAAAAGGCTGAGAATACCCCAAAAAAGGAAGCTAAAAGGACTGAGCCTTTTTAAAGGGTGCAGTTTGTGACATTCAAATGTGAACGTTGCCATAAAACTTCGAAGTAATACCCACTGTGAGTTAAGAAAAATCCTGTATCAATGTGCAGAGCCTTTAAGTATTTAAATAGCCAGATGGAAATTTCCAAACAAAATAAGAAGCATAAATACACATGCACCTACTACACAGTTGTGCTTTTTCACAGCTGTTGACACAAAACTTGGCATTTAAATATGTACAAGAGGACACTACAGGAGAAATGACATCATTCACATGAAACAGAACACATTTGCCTTAGAGATATTACTATCTGGGTTGTCTTGGTTTACATCTTGGGTTACATAGAGCTTTTTGAGCTTTATAAGGAATTTAAAATAAAAATATTTTGTAAGATGACTTTATAAGTTTTTTTTAAAAGAGGGAGCCTGTGCTAGACAAGTAACTCTTGTTTAAAAGTAGTTCTTGTATTGCTTCCAGAAGAAGCTTGAGAGTAAGTATGCAGTGGCTTAGAAATGAAACCAGAGCCAGGAGATTTTCTATCCTCAAAACTTATTTTGAGCTATATTCTAAATTCAGAACCCACACTGTTCAACTGGATTCCAAGTTTGGCAAAAAGATGTCTATCACCCCTCTAGCTCTGACTGTGTTTATTAATGGCCTTCTGATACTTCAAAAAGGAGCTGCTTTTTTAGCTTATGGCTATTTCCAAGACGTATTACAATCTGATTTCAACTTTTGCTAGAATTTCCTAGGTGTCCTTTCTACATAGTGTGAAATGTTGCCACACACCATTTAGCAGCACATACTTTCTCCCTAAAGAGGGCTAGTCTCCATCATTTCTGCAGCATTGTTGAGGTAGATAAGGTGTCTCTAATATTTCCCATGAATATACATTTGTTAAAGAATTCAACATTTAGCAAATATGTTCATTACTTTTCTTTGGCCATTAGCAGCTAGAAAGGATAAAACTTGCAGGATAAGCCCTAACATAAAATGATGACCCTGAAAATGCAGCTAAGGAATGCAATGAATACAACAACTACAAATACTAAAAAACTGAGACATATAGGAAATGGTCCAAAGTGGATTTCCATATCCTGTTCATCAGATATATAATTACTCTTTTACAAGAGCAGATGAGAGGAATTAGAAACAGATTATAGAAAACATCAGGACAGAAGATGTTCATATTGTTTCATGACATATTTCTAATATAAGTACAAGATGAATTTAAGCAATAAATTAAATAATCTGGAAGTGGTCACATGCAGGATTCTAAAAGTAAATTGTTACAGGAGTTTATTCAAGGCCTTTGCTACCTTCCTCAGTTCAGAAGGAACACTCCTTTGAGGAAGGTTCTCTTCTTGTAAGTATTTTTCTTGGGAGAATCAGTATTTCACATAACTGCATTAGGAGAGCAGGAGAACAAAGTTTAAGGATTCACACCTGCGAGCCTGCCCACACAGACCTTGGGCTGGAAGAACTCTGACAGCAGTTCTGCAAGGCAATTTCAGTTACAAAGCATATGCCAAATTAATGTTCTAGTACATTTGGACTTTACATCAAGACTTCCCTGGTATGTTCCAGTAGAACTAAAAGCAAACAGATTTATAATTGCAAATGTTTAGATTATTTTGTTCAGATTGTCATGCAAGCTCAGTAATAAGTGTACACTTTTTTTAAAGTGTTTATAGATTTAAGTCACTTTACCTCATTTGAATTTAGAGTTCGAAGGGATGGACTTTGCTGAAAAGACCGGAAATTAAGAACTAAGGAGGCAAATGTGTACTCTTTTGCAGGTGGCAATATAATTTATCAATCATCCAGAGATTTGCATTATGAATTTCAAATCAACATTTTTCTGGTGCACAGGACACTTTAAATAGCACTTTTCTGTCCTGCTTTTGTTTGCTAGGAAATAGGCTTAGTTAATGCATAACACTTTGGCACTTAAATATCATAAATACGAAGAGACCTTTAGATCTGTCTCTTTACTGTAAAGCCAAGTATAGACTTCCTGATGACCAACCCACATCTGCCAACAGTACAACCAACCATACCTCATCCATTCCGTCACTTTTAAGACTGATGAAATAAGGTTAAAATGTTGAAAGCAGGACTATTTGCTAAAAGAAGACATAAGATACACTGACAACAGGCCTGGGTTATATTTTATTTCGCTCTTTTAGAATGCCAAAATAAACCTTGAGCGAATTACATTGCTGGAGGGAATCTGGGGCTCAAGATCATGCCTCAGCTTTATCAGCATAAACACAGGAAAGATTCTTCAAAGCACTTCATAGTGTTAAGATCACAGCTATGTCTGTCCTTCCTCTTAAGTGTCTCTTCTTCAGAGCAGCTGCAAGAGCATACTGTGCTTTTGGCCATCCCTTGTAGCGCAAGGTGCTTTGCAGAGTGCCTGTGAGCCGTCTGTTCAGACTTTCCAAAGGCACACTAACATGTTGGCTGCATACAAAGTCTTACATGAACAGGAGGAATAGCAGGAAACTCTGATCTTACTGCTACTTTTAGGTCCACTCTGTGGAGGCAAGAGCCTTTCACTTGCTGAGGGACTTGCCTGCTTAATCCCCAAAATACCTGTAGAAAATTATCACTTTAGGAAACATCAAGTAAAAGCTTGGGCTATAGCTTTGAATAACATGGAAATCAATATCTATTCACAGTCTGTCTTCGTGGGACAAAGGCCCATAAGAAGTGCTACCTCGTATCAGAAGGCACCAAACCTTTTCATGAAGCCAACGAAGACTGCATAGCCAAGGGGGGGACACTGGCTATCCCAAGGAATAACGATGAAACAAACGCTCTTCGAGATTATGGCAAAAAAAGCATGCCTAGAGCATCTGAGTTTTGGTTGGGTGTCAATGACATGATAAATGAAGGGAAATTTGTTGATGTCAATGGCATGGCTCTACAGTACTTCAATTGGGATCGTGCCCAACCAAACGGGGGGAAGCGTGAAAACTGTGTCTTTTTTTCTCAGTCATCACAAGGCAAGTGGGTGGACGAAGTCTGCCGTACTGCCAAAAGGTATATTTGTGAATTTCTGATCCCATAATTACATATACAAATGACCATGACCATGTTTTTTGTTATTAACATGCAGTTTTGCTTGTTAATAACCCCTCCCACTTAGACAGTGGTGAGTTAAAAATATCAATCTCCTGCATTGTACTCACTCTTT